CGGGAGGGGAGCGGGGGCTAGTGGTTAGAGACGGGAGCCAGGGCGCCTGGGATCTCGGGAGGGGAGCGGGGGCTAGTGGTTAGAGACGGGAGCCAGGGCGCCTGGGATCTCGGGAGGGGAGCGGGGGCTAGTGGTTAGAGACGGGAGCCAGGGCGCCTGGGATCTCGGGAGGGGAGCGGGGGCTAGTGGTTAGAGACGGGAGCCAGGGCGCCTGGGATCTCGGGAGGGGAGCGGGGGCTAGTGGTTAGAGACGGGAGCCAGGGCGCCTGGGATCTCGGGAGGGGAGCGGGGGCTAGTGGTTAGAGACGGGAGCCAGGGCGCCTGGGATCTCGGGAGGGGAGCGGGGGCTAGTGGTTAGAGACGGGAGCCAGGGCGCCTGGGATCTCGGGAGGGGAGCGGGGGCTAGTGGTTAGAGACGGGAGCCAGGGCGCCTGGGATCTCGGGAGGGGAGCGGGGGCTAGTGGTTAGAGACGGGAGCCAGGGCGCCTGGGATCTCGGGAGGGGAGCGGGGGCTAGTGGTTAGAGACGGGAGCCAGGGCGCCTGGGATCTCGGGAGGGGAGCGGGGGCTAGTGGTTAGAGACGGGAGCCAGGGCGCCTGGGATCTCGGGAGGGGAGCGGGGGCTAGTGGTTAGAGACGGGAGCCAGGGCGCCTGGGATCTCGGGAGGGGAGCGGGGGCTAGTGGTTAGAGACGGGAGCCAGGGCGCCTGGGATCTCGGGAGGGGAGCGGGGGCTAGTGGTTAGAGACGGGAGCCAGGGCGCCTGGGATCTCGGGAGGGGAGCGGGGGCTAGTGGTTAGAGACGGGAGCCAGGGCGCCTGGGATCTCGGGAGGGGAGCGGGGGCTAGTGGTTAGAGACGGGAGCCAGGGCGCCTGGGATCTCGGGAGGGGAGCGGGGGCTAGTGGTTAGAGACGGGAGCCAGGGCGCCTGGGATCTCGGGAGGGGAGCGGGGGCTAGTGGTTAGAGACGGGAGCCAGGGCGCCTGGGATCTCGGGAGGGGAGCGGGGGCTAGTGGTTAGAGACGGGAGCCAGGGCGCCTGGGATCTCGGGAGGGGAGCGGGGGCTAGTGGTTAGAGACGGGAGCCAGGGCGCCTGGGATCTCGGGAGGGGAGCGGGGGCTAGTGGTTAGAGACGGGAGCCAGGGCGCCTGGGATCTCGGGAGGGGAGCGGGGGCTAGTGGTTAGAGACGGGAGCCAGGGCGCCTGGGATCTCGGGAGGGGAGCGGGGGCTAGTGGTTAGAGACGGGAGCCAGGGCGCCTGGGATCTCGGGAGGGGAGCGGGGGCTAGTGGTTAGAGACGGGAGCCAGGGCGCCTGGGATCTCGGGAGGGGAGCGGGGGCTAGTGGTTAGAGACGGGAGCCAGGGCGCCTGGGATCTCGGGAGGGGAGCGGGGGCTAGTGGTTAGAGACGGGAGCCAGGGCGCCTGGGATCTCGGGAGGGGAGCGGGGGCTAGTGGTTAGAGACGGGAGCCAGGGCGCCTGGGATCTCGGGAGGGGAGCGGGGGCTAGTGGTTAGAGACGGGAGCCAGGGCGCCTGGGATCTCGGGAGGGGAGCGGGGGCTAGTGGTTAGAGACGGGAGCCAGGGCGCCTGGGATCTCGGGAGGGGAGCGGGGGCTAGTGGTTAGAGACGGGAGCCAGGGCGCCTGGGATCTCGGGAGGGGAGCGGGGGCTAGTGGTTAGAGACGGGAGCCAGGGCGCCTGGGATCTCGGGAGGGGAGCGGGGGCTAGTGGTTAGAGACGGGAGCCAGGGCGCCTGGGATCTCGGGAGGGGAGCGGGGGCTAGTGGTTAGAGACGGGAGCCAGGGCGCCTGGGATCTCGGGAGGGGAGCGGGGGCTAGTGGTTAGAGACGGGAGCCAGGGCGCCTGGGATCTCGGGAGGGGAGCGGGGGCTAGTGGTTAGAGACGGGAGCCAGGGCGCCTGGGATCTCGGGAGGGGAGCGGGGGCTAGTGGTTAGAGACGGGAGCCAGGGCGCCTGGGATCTCGGGAGGGGAGCGGGGGCTAGTGGTTAGAGACGGGAGCCAGGGCGCCTGGGATCTCGGGAGGGGAGCGGGGGCTAGTGGTTAGAGACGGGAGCCAGGGCGCCTGGGATCTCGGGAGGGGAGCGGGGGCTAGTGGTTAGAGACGGGAGCCAGGGCGCCTGGGATCTCGGGAGGGGAGCGGGGGCTAGTGGTTAGAGACGGGAGCCAGGGCGCCTGGGATCTCGGGAGGGGAGCGGGGGCTAGTGGTTAGAGACGGGAGCCAGGGCGCCTGGGATCTCGGGAGGGGAGCGGGGGCTAGTGGTTAGAGACGGGAGCCAGGGCGCCTGGGATCTCGGGAGGGGAGCGGGGGCTAGTGGTTAGAGACGGGAGCCAGGGCGCCTGGGATCTCGGGAGGGGAGCGGGGGCTAGTGGTTAGAGACGGGAGCCAGGGCGCCTGGGATCTCGGGAGGGGAGCGGGGGCTAGTGGTTAGAGACGGGAGCCAGGGCGCCTGGGATCTCGGGAGGGGAGCGGGGGCTAGTGGTTAGAGACGGGAGCCAGGGCGCCTGGGATCTCGGGAGGGGAGCGGGGGCTAGTGGTTAGAGACGGGAGCCAGGGCGCCTGGGATCTCGGGAGGGGAGCGGGGGCTAGTGGTTAGAGACGGGAGCCAGGGCGCCTGGGATCTCGGGAGGGGAGCGGGGGCTAGTGGTTAGAGACGGGAGCCAGGGCGCCTGGGATCTCGGGAGGGGAGCGGGGGCTAGTGGTTAGAGACGGGAGCCAGGGCGCCTGGGATCTCGGGAGGGGAGCGGGGGCTAGTGGTTAGAGACGGGAGCCAGGGCGCCTGGGATCTCGGGAGGGGAGCGGGGGCTAGTGGTTAGAGACGGGAGCCAGGGCGCCTGGGATCTCGGGAGGGGAGCGGGGGCTAGTGGTTAGAGACGGGAGCCAGGGCGCCTGGGATCTCGGGAGGGGAGCGGGGGCTAGTGGTTAGAGACGGGAGCCAGGGCGCCTGGGATCTCGGGAGGGGAGCGGGGGCTAGTGGTTAGAGACGGGAGCCAGGGCGCCTGGGATCTCGGGAGGGGAGCGGGGGCTAGTGGTTAGAGACGGGAGCCAGGGCGCCTGGGATCTCGGGAGGGGGGGGAGACCCCAGGCATCCTGGCTCCCTCCCTGCTCTAACCACTAGCCCCCGCTCCCCTCCCAGAGCGGGGAGAGACCCCAGGCATCCTGGCTCCCCCCTGCTCTAACCACTAGCCCCCGCCCCCAACCCAGGGCCAGGGAGAGACCCCAGGCATCCTGGCTCCCCCCTGCTCTCACCACTA